TTGAGTATAGCTCCTTCCTTTCCTTCTCTTTTGCCAGCTTCCATTCTTATTCTTCTATTCTTCTATTCCCACCTGCTAGATTTCAAACTCCCACAAAAGATTCCACCGTGATTCCTCTCCATTAATCCTTCCCCCTTTTTTCCATGGTGGATGAATTGGTAAATGTGTGATGATCATGTGCACATATGCATTGTCATTCCCTTTTTTTTTTTCAAAAAAGATTGTGGGATTTTCGAAATACCAAGTTACCCCAACTACAAAATATGTACATATACAATAATTACAAACAATATCTGACGAGCATCTCTCGATTGATTTTATTGTATTTATATTTTTTCGAGTTTCTAATTTATTATTAAGTGTTACAGGAACAAAAAAGGAATGATTGGAGATAGGATTGAGATTCTTGGGTGTACTTTTTGAATCAGAAGAGGAGAAGAAGAAATGTGGAATAATTAGAACCCTATGGGTGATGCATGGGTCGTGGTCCTAATTTTTGCATATTTCTACTTGCGAAGAAGTTCAAATTTTCGAAAAATTGACGCCAACCCGAATTATGTAAAAAGAAACAAAACCATTAAGAATTATGTCTGCCCAAATTCTGTATACATTCCAAAAACCTATTAATTATTTTTAAACTGATGCTGGAAATGTGTAGAAACTCTAGGAATCAAACAAATGACATATGCGTATATACATTTGGTCGTATCTATTTTGCGTATTTAAGGAATTTTGGGTCCCTGTAATGAAAAATGCTATGATTGAAAACCTCAGCCTTACGAAGGATATTGTTTCATATGGACAAATTTTGCTTTTGGTACAAGGACAGGAAAGGCAAATAAAAAAAAAAAGAGAAAAAAAAAAAGAAACAATAAGGCATTTAAGTTAGTTAAGAAGTGACAAAATGAATTTGATCCCAAAAAATCGATGGGATAGATGACTTGAATAAGCATCCAACAACCTACCATTTACACCTCCTTTAATGTTCTTATGGATTTTTATTTTCCTTTTTCAACCAAGAAATGGTGCCAAATATGCTTGACCTAATGTCACTCTCCTTTTTCATATTTCTGATACGATTAAACTGTTACTCAAAAAGGTTGGTAAAATAAATGATAAACTAATTAGGAAAACTTTACATATACACACATTTTGCCTTCTCAAACGTATTATATCGTTTTTAAAGCATACAAGAACAAGTTGTAAAAGAAATGATAAACTAACTTGGAAAATTCACACATCTTGCATTCTCAACGTGTATGTGGTGTAAGTTTAATGTTTCTCATGTTTTAAAATTATTGTCTAATTTGAATTTTTTACTTTTAGTTCAAATTGTACATAAAATAAAAATCTAATCTGGACAAATATTTTTTGGGACGAAAGAAATATTGTTTTGTAAGATTTTAATAAAACTTCTTGACCGAATTAAAAATCGAACCGGATCAGTTCCGATTTGTAAAAGGTTTATACGTTCTAAATAGAGTAATACTAGACTTTAGCCTTTGTTATGTATACAGTATTAACTTCCATGACCCTGGAAGTCAATTCTTGGCACGCATAACTTAAATGCAGATGAAGATCGACACGTTTTCAAAGAGTATATTAATGAATTACTTCTGGAAACCCAGTTTTATATCTGACCAGGGATGATGAAAAGCAGATAATTAATTACTAAGATTAAAAGAAAAGAATAATTAAAAAAAAAACCGCTTTAAATGTGCTCATAGTACGTGAAATATGATGAAGATCCAAGCATTTATTCACTATTGATGAAATCTTTGAAGAGCCTGAATTCATTATCCGGACTTTTATTTACTCGTAAAATGATGTTTATTAATTATATTTAAAATATCAAATGGGCGATCTCATGCAGCAAAAAAATTGGCCCTCCTAATTGATGTTACACAAATAAGAGGGAACCAAAAGTGAATTGATCATTTTTGTTTTTTTTAAAAAAAAAAGTTTAATCAAAGAAACTGCAAACAAATGTAATTTCTTCTGTAAAAGTAAAACCCAATTATCACCTCAAACTCAAAGAACCAACCACACCATGAAATCGAAACTTACAAACTAAGAACTGGACAACCAATATGACCCCCTTTGGGTCCTTAAGCTTTAATAGTGCTTTTATGATTCTGTTCTTCTTTTGTTTTTGGTGAAAGTACAAAAAAAAAAAGAAAAAGAAGAATAATTGAGAATTGAGACCACAAAATGCTTGTAAGTGTTTGTGAGGCATACATACCTTAATTTCCTCTCTTCTTTTCTTCAATTACAAGAGACAAAACAATCTAACTACACATTAGGGCAGTATAGGTGTAATGATTTCCTTTACAATATGGTTATTCTTACCGGAAAACAAAGGTCCACCTGGTTTTTTTTTTTTTTTTTTTAGAAAAAAAACTTTCTTTGACTGTGCTGGAATTCAGCCAGCTCTAATTGATATAAATAATTAGGCGCATAAAGCTAGAAAACAAAGGTCCACCAGGTTTATTATTTCTATTGTTGGTAGATACAAACACAGTATCATCCACATTTTACCACACTTCATTCATTAGCAGAGAAAAATCAATACCCTTTTCCGAAAAATTATTTGCAAAGACAAAAAAAGAACAAAAACAAAAAAAGGGTTAAATAATCATCAAAATTTAGTCTTTGAATTGGACATTAATTCAACATGGAACGTGAAAGAAATTATTAGTGTCCTAATCCAAAGGGCTGCTAATTTTACGTTTCAACATCAAACGTGACAATGAATAATAACTTTAATTCTTTAGTTGATTGTTTGGACCAAATTGGGATTAATTTATGAGATAAGAATATCCTTAATGACCCTACCAAACCGTTAGTTTACAACTTGTTTGGTGATACGTACGTTTTGTGGAAGATTTAAGGAATATTGAGGGAATGTGAAAAGATCATCTTAGTTCATTTTATTCTTTCAATTTTCTATTTCTTTTCCTTTTCTTCTTCTTTCTTTTTTTTTTTTTTTTGGGGGGTTAATTCTATATAGAAATTGAGGCTTCACTCTTCAACGGCAGCCGTTTTGGAATGGAATGTGATTCAGTTTGTTAGTGAGAGTAGTAAGGTAAGACAGTAATATCATGCCACTTAATTAATTAAAAAAATTAATTCCACGCCTTAATGAATATTAATTAAATCGACTGGAAACAGCGGTATGAAAATAAAAATTGACAACTAATGCATAGCAGAACCATTAATTAAGTGATGTGTAACATTTTTTTTTTTTTGTAACACTTACACACTCATCATCACATGCAGTCAAACAATTTTACGATTTGATAATTCATATTTGAGCTTCTGTTCATTTCTGAGTGTGGGAGAGATGGATGAAACGATTAGGGTTTTACAATAAATCAATCAATAACATCCTAAATTGGAAATAGAAAAGAAAAAAGAAGAAAAAGGAAATGGGAGGTAATGAAAATGACTCCCGAACTAAAAAGGAAAAAAAAAGAAAGGAAGTAAACCTTATTTGTTTTTGTAGACTTAAGATGCTTGACTTAAAATGGTTGAGCAAACTACCAGCCAGCTACCAAAAATGTAGATTAATATTTCCCAGTTATTGGTTTTTTTCTGCCGGTGTACTTACTAAACTATTATTATCACATTAGTTAGACTTATAAACTATATATATATATTCTAAATTAATAATTAACCCAAAAATGATCAAATCAACCCATAAGTCAACTATAATGTTAATTACAACATCTATAATATGAATGTGGTATGTTTAATTGAAATGCTGTAAACTGTAAAATTGACTTGAAAACTTATGCAACATACACTGGAGTGGAAATAGGAGGAAAAAATTCCTCTAATTTAAAATGATTGCTTTTTTTTTTTCTGGATTTTCAATTTTAATTAGTTTTTTTTCTCTCTTCTAAAATAGAAAACTCAAAGTGGATAATTGTTTGGGAATGGGGAGTATAATAAAAAGTTTAAATAGTTAATAGAGATGTAGAGTAGTACTCCCTCCGTACCATAATTATTGTGCAGTTTAAGATTTTAATTTTAGTATAATTTGAACTAAATATGAAAATCTAAACTGTACAATAATTCTGGGACGGAGTTAGTATTAACTTTCTGACTCCACCTGATCAACTATATTGCTCCCCTTAAGCGTTAGAGCAAAATCATACTTAGCGACAATACAAAATCGGTAAAGTATAATATTTCTATTGAATTTGGATGGACGTACGTATTGCGAATATGTTATACAGTATACCTGTTGTAATAAACATGTACACGTACGATTTGTATTTTACCAATTCATTGCATCATGAATTTCATTCATCATTGTATGATTTCATTTCAGTCAGAATACATAATAATTACACGTAATTTACAACAAGTTACACCAACATACACAATGGTCAAGCTGGGGAGCCTGAAAATTCAAAGTTCCAAAACCATACACACATCATATCATATCATACCATATCCTGATATCCATATGTGTATAGTGTAATTTTGTACATATACCATGGAGCTGGCTAGCTCGACCTTCTTCTTCTGGGTTATTGATCAGATCTCATGATTTCTGAATACCCTGTTGGGCAGTACAGTTGTAGGACCAAAAACATTTGTCTCTCATCAATCCAAACACACACACACACACACTCGCACATTTTCCAAAATTCTCTCTTTAAATTTCCTCTTATTTTTATCCTCCAAGAGATTGGAAGAAGAACGAAAAGCCCTTCAATTAATGCCATTTTTTTGTTCATCTTTTTAGCGGTTCCTTCTGCGTAGAATCATACAGACAACAGTCCACGTGGGTATAAATTCTCACTAGTATTACTATTTACCACTACTACTAACAAAAATCGAACCGCCATAGGGACATTATCGTCATTTCACCCAACACCACCTCCTTCTCCTCCTCCACCACCCCCTCCATTTAATATCCCGCCATGTTTCTCCCATTCCATTCCTTCCAGCTCAAACCTTAAAACCACTCTCTTCAACTTGCCCTCCCCCAAAAAAAAAAAAAACAAAAACAGAAAAAATATATAAAAAAACACAAAAATGGCAAAATACATGAAATTATGTCCATTTATTACATGCACGTATTAATGTTGTATTTTGTTTGGGCATTAGAGAGAGAGATTATATAGAGTAAGAAGAAGAAAGAAAGAGAAGAACAGAGTGAGCTTTGAAAGAGCCTTTTTTTTTTTTCTTTCTTCTTTCTTTTTGTCTCCGGCCCCCAGAGTTGGGATGGCTACATGGTGGATGAAATCTTTACAATGCAAGTCTAAAGCATTGGACGACGTCGTCCAGCACAAACAGAAACTCCGGTCAAGCAGCGGCAATTCTAATACTACTCCCAAATCTCAGTCCACCCACCACCACCATAATATCATTCCTAACTCCGCCAGTTGCCGTAAAAGTGTCCAGAGTCTTAAGGATGTGGTGGAGACCGCAAAACACGGCAAACCCAGAAAGCCTAATAAGTCATCATCATCATCATTATCGTTATCGTCGCCGGCGGAATCGGCTTCTCCGACCACCCCGCTAATGCAGCAAACCCCGTTGAGTAGAAGAGGATCCGTTTCGAGGAAATCAGGACCCGTTTTTCCGTCTTCCCTCCAACAACAGCCCGGTCAGAGGGTTCGTCCGAACGGCACGCGAATCTCACGCTCCGCCGAGTCGTTTTTCCCGGCGCTGACTGAGCTGCCGCAGGGCCATCCTTCGCGTAATGTGGTCGAGATTATCTTCCATTCAAGTTGGTCCTCGCCGAAGGTTTTCTCCGGCCGGATCGAGATGGTGTTCAAGGTCCAGAATTTGCCCCGGACGGTGACCCGGTTTGAAGAGTACAGGGAAGCGGTGAAGTCCAGACCGGATTCCGGCGAGGTTATTGGGTTGGCTTCCTCGGAGGAGGAGGGCGGTGAAGAAGACGCGCGGTGCGTTGCGGATGGGAATGAGGTGATGAGGTTTTACTGTCTGGGGCCCACGACCAGCGCCTCCTCCGGCGGCGCGTACGACCCAAGCGGATGCGCGTGGGCGTTCAGCGGTGCGAAGGGGTCGGCGATATGTACATTTTCCGGTAGCGGGGCGGCGCACGAGAGTGCCGGCGGCGGGAGGGGGAGGAGGGCGATGCTGGTGTGCCGGGTAATAGCGGGTCGGGTGTGTAAGCAAATCGGGTACGACTCGGTAGTTGATGGGAAGAAATGTGGGTATGACTCAGTGAGTGGGGAAAATAACGAGTTGCTGGTTTTTGATTCACGTGCGGTTTTACCATGTTTCCTAATCATCTACAAATTGTAATATACAACATCAACGAGAAGAAGAAGTAAGGCCACTTCGTATTTTTTCTTGGGGGTTTTTTTTTTTTCCTTTATTTAAATTTTTTCAAATTTTTTGTAGGCTAACGGATATTACTATTACTAATACTACTATCAGTATTCTTTTCGTCCCAAAATGTTGATACACAGTCATTTTGCGACCGGAAGGGTATTATGTTTGGTGATTAGATTAGGTTTAATGTGTAAATGCTCCTCTTTTTTTATGGGAAGTTTCATAAATTCTATATATGTGAAATTACTCAAATGGCTAGGTACCAAAAATGTCGATGCCAAATTACTCATGGAAAAGGTGCACTAAATGTAGTGAATTTTATGGCATTAGTTTGCATTTTTTTTTTAAACATTAATAGAAAACAATTTTGGATATACTTGTAACCAAACAGCGGTTACGGAATAATGAAATCTACGTCGGGTTCTCTTTGTTAAGAACAAAATAACTCAGACGTTACAAACACCTAGTTAAATAAGGAAAAAGAAATAAGAATTGCTTACATTCAGTATTATACAATCTTGTATTAATAATATTCCTTTCAGTCCAAAATATTCGTTTCGGTATTAAAATCCTTCTTCCTGCATGTTCAGGTTTTGCATTCTCCTTTATTAACTTCCTCATTCAAGTTCACTTTGATCTTATATGTGTATATTGCCACAAGTGTCTTGCCCAGCACTCAGCAGTACATGCATGCATTTAAATACATCACCTTTTTTAGAAAAATAATTTATTTCGTGAAATAGTTTTCCCAAACAAGAGTATCATATGATTTCACTTGAAATCTTTATTTTTCTCAGCCAAATTAAACAATATAGTTGTCATCATAGTTATAAAGGTTTTAAGTAATGGGTGTCACAATTATTACGGGAGGGAAAAAAAAGTCTTCGTTGATATTAAAAAGTGATTTTATTCAGGTTACAGCATCTGGTAGTGTCAATTTGGCCACGTTTGTGAGCTGTATAAAACCAACAGTGGATCATTTACATGGAACTTGGTAGTCTCTTTGATCTTAATCTGTTCATACTTTAGAATGCATTAATTCTGAATTTTTGAACATCCTATCTGTTAGTTCACTCTTTGGGGTTTTAATTCAAATGACAATATCCAAACTAACCAAAATGTAAATTTGGCAATGGAATGGAATACGGAATCGTGGACGAAATCAGTTAACACAAAAATGTAACAAAAAAGTGTTGGCAAGTAATTATTTTAAGATTAATTGTGAATGTAATAACATAAAAATGTCTTTATATATATATATATATATATATATCAGTTATAACCCTAAATCACTACCCGAAGATGAATCAAACGTCTCTAGCCTCCTTTCCCCTTTTCTTTTTCCTGTCTGTCAAAAGCCTTTAACTTTCTTCTAAATTGTATGATTATGAGGAAAAATGTACAATTATGTTATTTGATCATCAACTCTCCCACTACTTGTTCCCAATAATTATTACAAAATTAGAAGCAAGTGGAAAACACAAGAAGGTGATGTCCTAAGCTCATCGCGGTTCGGTGTTTATCCGTCAAATAAGAAATACCAAAGTCATTGCGATACAGTCGTGCATAAACTCTAGTTGTTTTAACATCAATCCACGACAGCAGAAGATAATTGAGCGTGACAAAAATAATAGAATTCCACAAAAGGGGCTAACCAAAACAAAATTTCATGCATCATTTTGCGCTGCTCAAATCTTATAAAAATTAATGCACCCCTTGCAAAGTTTAGTATAACAAACAAAATAATTTTTTTTTTTGGATAGAAAAAGTAATACTCCCTTCATCCCATAATTATTGTCCACTTTAACTTTTTATAGATTAAATTACACAATTGTCCTTTAATCTATTAGTATCATGTGTATCGGTTTCAACTTCAGAGAATGCATTTACTCAATTCATTCAAGCTCGGCCCAACGCAATACTCCTTCCATGTCTGCTTAAGATTTAATTCTTTTCTAGCCCATAAAACAGAGAAAGATTTTTCATCACGATCTTATTATTTTTTTTTGGTTCTCATTCCATATACAAATTCCCTTTGTGCTGAGCAACAAGAACAACAACAACAACAGCACAAGTTTCATCATTCTCACCAGCTCTATCTTGGCGGCAAGAAAAGCCAGAGAGAAATCCCACCCAGGAAGTTTCTCAGCCGCCGTCGCCGCCGTGGCCTCTTCAGAGATGATCCTAACGGTGGATTTGATGACCCCATCGACGACTTGGCTAACTAATTCTAGAGATCCATGGGCTACCGACGCCCCAAACTCAATTTAATATGGGGGATGATTTCAGAGATCCATGGGCTCGCGAATGATTCATTTTCCTTCTGAAGATCGAACCCGAACTCCTGCAAATCCCGGTGATAAGTCTTCAGCACCGACTTAGATCCAGTAGCGGGTCTTCACCAAGTCACCAAAGTTCCATCCACCGACACTCGAGCAGAACCATCACTAATCTTTATAAATCCGTAACTTTTTTTTGCTGGCTAAACAATTACATAGAGGGGTATATCTGGAAGTTTAGCCAAAATATTCTTAAGTTTGACCAAAAAATAAATTCTTTCATTTTGGTTAAACTGGACAATAATTATGGGACGGAGGGAGTAATTAATTTCTTCATGATATATTTCATATCGTAGTAGACAAAGCTTGGGTCTAGGTAGCAGTAATTTGTCTTCTCCAAAACAACAAAAATATGATTTATGGAGATTTGGCTTGGTCTTTCACATGTCTAGGGTAAGAGGTATACATACTTTGTCTGCTACACTAAACATGTCTCAACAAAAAATGACACCTTCTTATTTGTAAAATACATTTCAATATTTAAAATGCATGATTGTTGTTACTCAATAATTCAATCTCTTTCCGCCTAAATGTTCAACAAACATGACTTTTATTTTGGGACTAAAGAAAACCGAAAGATAAATAATCTCGTTTACAAGTTTGGATGTTGACAGACATGTGGGAAAAAAGAGTAATCTTGGTGATATGCTCCTAAAATTGACATTGCTTCTCATTAAAGAACCTTTAAAATCTAATTCATTGCCTTCCTCTTTTCTTCCCAATAGGGATGATGCTTTTGCTGCACCCCCAAGTTTTTTCTTTTGTTAATTTTCTTTTGTGGTTTCCAAGTTTGGTATTTACAATTGTCAAAAGTGACGTTCCACCTCACTTACCTAGCGCTTTAAGCATTCTTTCTTTACTCATAAAACCTTCAAGAAAGCATCTTAAATTTTCGAAAAGCCATAAGCTTGAACCCTTTGTTATGATGACTCTCTCCAGCCAAATTTCAGAAAGACGATATCGATTTCTGTAAATTAGGTTAGTGGTCCTTTGCCTTGGAGTCAAAATCTATTAAGTTCATTCATTTTTTAAAAGTGTCAATCGAGTCCATCAATTCCATCAATTGCTCTTATCTGGTGTAGTCAAAAGTGTTTATGGTCAAAATATTGATTCTTACAATTTGTAACACCTGCAATTTATAAACGAGACATTTTTCATGAAATGCAACTAGTTTTCAAAAGTGACAATCTATTTCTTTTCAATTCGAAATCTTTTTTTTTTTTAAAAAAAAGACGTGTTATAGGTTAAACCAATACCCGAAAAAAGTATTACACAAAAATTCTTTTGTTGAAAAAGTTGAACGATATTAATTAAAAATTCTGAAAAAAAAAAACCAATGAAAAAATGAACCAAACATACCCAAATTCACAACTCAAAAGTGAGGAGGCAATAGCATAAATTGCTATCTTTTTTTAGGATGTGAACAAGTCGAACACAAAAATCATAAACTCTTCTCACTTGGAAAATACGAGTTTGTGTCTTGTCCTAATCACGGATTTAAAAAGTAAACAAAATTTGGTTTGCTATTCATCCAATTCAAGACCTCAACAACTATTTGACTTTGAATAATACTTTTGACTAGAAAAGTCTTTTTCTTTTTGGGGATTTATTTGTGTACTCAATGAAAAAAGGTCATAGACTCTCTCTTGTAATATTACACGACGGTCTCAAGGGAAACGTGTTAGATTGGTTTGAAGAAAACCTCCGAGCATATAATTTCCTCGTCACGTTCAAACCTTCTGACATGGTTGAGAACTTGTTAAAATTCTGATTGCTCAAAACATTATTTGTTTCTGTAGCATTTATTTAGGCTTGTTGTGTTAAGTGTTTATAAGACAAGTTCGGGCCCTCTGTTTATCTTCCAATTTAAGGACAAAGCAAGGCGCAAGTCACGGTTTTCCTTAACCTATATTGTGTATACAGGTCATCCTCATGTATGAATTGTCACCATCTTTTCATTTATTTCTGGAAACCTGCTCTGCTGCTTAAGTTCATCATTTGACCTGTTTTGATCATTTTGCCATTTGTCTCAAAACATTTACTCTATTGTACAGTTATTGACGAAGTATTTCACAATATTAATGAAAGAAGAATCAAACCAATAGGACAATCCAATGATATCTAGAGACTAGAGAGGAGGTGATAGAAGAGATTTAGGGTTACAAAACTCAAATTTTAGATTGGGATGCCTAAGAAAAATCATGTTTGAAACCGAATCTAATATTACTTGAGGACTAGGGTACTTGATTGGAAGTTAGTTTAATTGAACTTTGAATTAGTCAAGAAATTTTGATCAATAATAACTGATGCATAAAACCAAGGATACCTTTACGGGGGGGTTTTTACAAACTATGTAAACCACAATAATTCCAACTCCCTGGAGTAAGAAATTGTTATTAACGAGTTAAAATGAAAATTAATAACGTAACATTAATTTTTATAGCGGTCCGCTAAAGACATATCTTTGTTAATTAATTATTAAAAAAATGAAGAATGCGCGGTTGCATATGTCTCATCTCCAAATCAGGCCACTCCTAAACGCTACAAAATGGAAAAAAAAAACACAAGGACAAATTTCCTTACCTAGAATTTCACATGACGAGAGTAATAATAATAATAATAATACTAAATGGTGAAATGAAAGCAATTTCAGGGGGAAAAATTACTTTCTCGATAATAATAGGGAGGAGGGCCCTCTAATGTACATTTCTGTTTTTAAATCATGCACGCTGCAGCAAGAAATAACAAATTATTTCCATCAATTTTGGCTACTAAAAAAAAATCTATTGTGACTCCACAAGAACGTACAATGGCTTCCCATTCAATCGATCCCGGCCCTACATCATCATCCAAGAAAGTGAAAAATTGGATCAAAATAATAATAATCATTGATATGATGATGATATCAAATCCTATTACAAAAGAAAAAGGAAAAGAATTTGTTATTTGGTTTTTTGTCTTTAAGGCATGGCTAAGACAAGATGATGGACCTCAAAGAGAACTTCATTACGCACAAGTTTGACCTATGAATATATGTGCTGAGAAATAAGCATCAGTGTGTCTTTCTACCACGATAATCACTCTCCATAGACTACAGAATCTTCATAATTAGAAATGAAAGTGTTTGTAATTTGGAGGAAAATATTAGTGCTGTGGAAGACAAGGAATACTAAACAGCAATCCAAAAGGAAGAATGATGCTTATGCTTCAGCTGACTCAATCAAATCATGTCAATGTTGGGCCTAAAAAGTCAAATATCCCCTCAAGCAGAAAGAGATGCTACAGAATAACAGCAGGAAAATAGATGCATGTATTAGAGAAGTGCACACCTTTAACTCGGGTATTTCGATCACGCAAGCACATTCGATTACTTCAGCTCCGGCGCGTTCTGGGAAGATATTTACACGTCAGGCTAAATGAATTTACGGAATTCAAGTAAAAACAGTTCTTTTAAACAGAACCCTTCTTTCCTATCACCTTTGAAATAAAAAATTTCTCCCCAGTAAAACTAGTGATGACTCTAGCAAGTTGACGAGGTTCGGTTAACAACAGCATCAATTTGATGCATCAGACACTTCAAACATAACAGAACGTGGAGATGCATGGATACAGCTTGAGAGCAATTGCCATTGTTGCATGTTTTAGTAGAACGCTTGCACTCAAACTAAGAGATATCTAGCTCATCATTTTGAACAATAATTTACTACAACCATCCAAACCAAAGAACAATGTTTCTGTCAAAGTCACTAGCAACCAACTATAAGCTCTTGCTTTCCGAGATGTTAAATTAGTTTCTTGTCGGTTAAGATAGGATATTTGCTCTTAATAATAGAGTAACAATAGTAACAAATCAGAAACGTACCCAGTAAATTCATAGCAGCACAAAGAGTGCCACCAGTTGCAATAAGATCATCAACTACCAAAGCACGCTCTCCAGGTTCGACTGCTCCAACATGCATTTCAATACAATCACTCCCATATTCCAGATCATATTCTTGTCTATAGACTTTACCTGAGATCACGTAAATGCCAATGATGCCAATTGTAACATAGGTTACTCGTAGGATCAGAGGTGATTTCTTTGCGAAGCAAAGTGAATATAAATGCATAAGCCCATCAGCCCATCACCGAGAGATGGTTAAACTTGTACAGAACACCAAATTAAAAATAGTTTGCACTCAAACAGAAAAAGTACCTGGAAGTTTTCTTGGTTTTCTCAGAGGGACAAATTTTGCCCCTATTGCCAGAGCAATCGGAGGTCCAAATATGAAGCCCCGAGCTTCTATTCCTGCAGTAGTGCAAAGAGTACACGACATGAGATGCCAAGTTATCCTACAAATGCCACTTCATATTTTCTGTTGTCTCTGGATGACTTCATTATATTCTCGTGAATTGACCTAAACTAATTTCATTCTTTTCATGGAGCACAAGAGAAAAATTCCACCAACACATCACAAAGATCTATTTAAAGATACGCTGCTCACCACAAAAGCTTATCATGACAATGACCCACGGTTAGAAGATCCAGAGTCTCGGGACACAATACAGATAACAGGACACATATTGAACAGAAAAAGGGACAAAAGTTGGGTGGCAAACATTGTTACAGCCAGGAAAATGAGTTCATCTAATTACTTACCAGCCAGAGAGATCAAATTTTTCATCTGGGGGAGTGGAGAAGCCAAATGACAGCCATATACAAACAAAAAAAATTGCAGGATCAAGAGCTACGCTTATCTTCCACATATTAAAAAACAAAAACAATGAGTCATCATTAAAGTTGCCGGCATTGCTTCAGAAAGTTTCTGATGCAACTTTGTTCTATGTTTTTGTCGTTTGAAACTAAGGTGATTGACGTGGAGTATAATGAGCAAAGGACAAACTAGGCCGTCCAAAAATCATCACTAGTAGATCTTCATTTCAGCTGAAAACATCAAGAAAGACTCCAAATCCAAAGACCAAGCCACTTGCAACAGCAGTCAAGCAGGAATTGAGCATAATATGCAAGACAATATGCAGTTTTCAGTCCATGTAAAAGCTCAATTCTATTCCATGTACAATCCACTAGATACAGCCCAAAACAGCTGCTTTGATTTTCGAATATATCTTTTTTTGAATGTTTTATCCACTAATTGTAGGCAGACAAACTCAATCAGTACCAGGAAGAAACCTCCATCTTCATAATCAATTTTAAGACACAAAAAAAAAATAGTATGAAACCCATCATTCAAACAAAGAATCAAAACCTAGGCAGGCATGCCCCACAGTTCTTGGTGGTGAATAATGCTTTCTTTCTTTCAGTAGTAAAAATCCTGATATCCCACAAACTAAATGGGATCTGCATTAAAGAATATTATTATGCCAACCAACAAAGCAATTACTACAGTGATACTACACAACTTTGATACATAGCAAAACAAAGTTTAGAGTTGTGATATTCACTGTTGACAAATATATCTTAACAAACTGAATCTGTCAAATTTTTATTATGTTTACACAAAAGGACAAAAATGTCCGCATGAGCAGAGAAGAACTGGACAAATTACCAAGGATAAACACAAGGACAAAAACAAGAAGTAAATTAATCATGATGAAATAAAACTTTATGGTGTCATCTTTTCTTTTTGAGAGAAATGGAGAGAACTAGGCCCCTTATAGTTGAAAAGCTTCACATAGGGAAACTCCTATGAACTTTTCAGAAGATGTGGAAGCCATCTAGAGTACTGCAATCATATGCAGTCCAAAAACTTTTTATCTGCAATAATTGAATAACAGAGACTGCAATAAATGGTTTTTAAGAAAAGGAGATCAGGTAGTGAACTACAATCATACATGATAATACTAATTGATCGGTCCTAAAGATAACTCATTGATAACTTTAAAACGATTAACTGATAATTCACGAATAGAAGAATTGGGAATGTGAAAACTAAGAAGAGAGCCAGAGAAAGGACGGGAAGGGGGGACGAACAGCCTAATAGGAAAATGCAAATGCTCCACTCATTCCAACTGTAGTAGTTACAGCCCAATGAGGCTTCAACAATTCTAGGATGAAATAAACAAAGCCGACAGAGTAGCATTCACCAATGGCAGGGAAAAAGACAAAGAAGCCATTATAGTATAGTGGTGATTATGGACCTCCATCAACAACCCTTTCCATCAATAATTGATGGTCATCATTCACCATACAAACCTCAGTGCCACTCAGGTGTCATCCTGAATTATAACATCTCAAAAATGATGATGACCAGTAGAGGTCCAGAAAAAAGATGGAAAACTCACTCATCCAACAGTAAGTTGGTGAAACCATTTTACCATAAGCATTTTGAAACGAAAAATAACTTTTTCTCATGAAACTTAAGGGTGAAAAATAATCAAAGAGGGGGCCATAAGCTCATTTTCAAATGTGGGCATCCATCCCTTCACCAACCAACATCACCATTAAAACTTCAAAATCTAAATAGGAAGCTGAGCACATGCCTCCCCTTTGGAGCCATTCACAGTTCATTCCTTCTGAGAAATAAATCATTAACAGGCAATCCCCACCAAGAAAAAATTAAATGATAAAAATAAAAAATAAAAAGCGCACCGACCCTCTCATGGTCAACCCCCCCAAAACAAATTCAGTCACTCCTACATTGCCAGTGACCATAAATGGCAAAACAACACACATAAACCTCCAGCAACCAAATTTCAAAACTTTCTGCACTTAAACACCCAAAGTTTTGATCTTTATTTATTATCAGAACATTGAAAAAGAACAAACATCAAAAAGACATCAAACTTTATAAAACCCCAAAAAGGAAAAAGAGAAAAGATCATACATTTACATAAAACTTTATTAATTTCACTATATCACCACTGTCATGTAAAGAAAAAAGGGATAATTTTTTTTTTAAAAAAAAAAAAATGGCACTCAACTTCACAATGTTTTCTCAACCTTACCATCCCTTTTCCTGAGTAGGACCCGCAGTAGAAATGTGAGGTAAAAATGATGGGCAAACAAGCAGAAAACAAAACGAAGGGGGTGCTTTTGAATTTAAGTGTATATACCAGCTACAACTGAGATGTTTTTGCCCTTGTACCGATCCACAAACAAATCAATGGTGTCTTTGAAGGCTTTGTGGTCAAGCAAAAGTGTAGTTATGTCTTGAAACATTATGCCTGCAGAACACACACACACACACACACACATTAAACTCAAATTAGAACTCCCACCTAAAAGAGCCCAAAAAAAAAAAGAAAAAGAATAAAAATCAGACCTTTACAGAACAACATTTTCTTATGTTTTTTTCTCCCCCCTTCAATGAAACAGATAAAACACATACGCACCTGGTTTGGGAAAATTGGGCACAACCCGGATTCTTGATTGAATGGCATGGATTCGAGGATCATTGTCCTGGTAGGCTGACATTGTGGAATTAAAACAAATGAATTAGTTAATCCCCTGTTATCCTTCTTCCCTTTTCTTTCACTGGGTTTATTTGGTGGAATGTTAGTTAGGCCTCAATGTGTTTGGCACATTGGAGAGGAAGATAGAGAGGGAAACAAGGGAAAAAGGCTCTATTTATAAGCAGATGGATAAAGACTCAGGATGAAAAAAAAAAATTAAATGAGAAGAAAAAAAAAAAGGAGAGAAGCTTTTTGGTAACAGAGGAAAACTGGGGAGGGAATATTTTGGAAGGATTTTTTCATTTTTGATACTATGAAATTACATTTATTGGGAAGGGTTACATAACAATGATGTGCTATGAAAAGTAAGTAAATTACAATGATGTGCCGTAGGAAAAAGGCCACTTATAATAATTATTATTTTTATTATTATTATTAAAGAATTTATCGTATTTTAATTTTATTTTTAGTAAATCTATATTAGAAGTTAAAAATTCAAACTCAACAATCATCGGGAAACAGGAAAAAAATTGATATGAAAAAATTAATATGATGTTCTTGGTTGAAATTCCTCTCCGACTAGGTTTATAAAAGTGATCGACCAGCTTAATCACAATTGACATTGTAAGTGTTGACATTGTAGGATTTTTAGTACAAAAAATGCGTTTTGTTATATTTTTTTTATTATACTTTTTAGTTTCTATAATATTTAGGTAATATATCATTAATATTTGTCGTCGTTTATTTTGAAAGCAAGAATATCAATTCTATTAACACAAAACCAAGCAGTAACAACAATGACTTCTAAAACTTAAATGACTTGTGTTACTGCCTCCTACTACCCCAACCAAACAATCTAATTAATCTCAAAATCTCATGGTCGCTTCACCATTACATTAGCACATTTTTCATGCCATGGAGAAAATACATAATTAAACTTTGCCTCATTTTTTTTCTACGATTTGAGTAATGTTTCGGGGTTTTTTTAAATCAATATACTCCCCCTGTCCCAAAATTATTGTCCAATTTGATATTTCACTTTTAGTACAATTTGAACTAGAAATAAAAACTCAAACTTATGAGACGCAGGGAGTATATGTTTTCTTGTAAGATGCTCCTTTAATTGAGTTCAACATACAATTAATATTAATATGTCATGGTTTTGAGAATGCTACTTCATTTTTTCTATAGACCCTGTTATTCAAGAATTTAAAGTACCATCATTTTTGTATGTTGGTATACTCTCTATTGTGAAATGAATTATGTTGCAACAAAAGTTGTCTTTAAGAGTATAAAAACTAAAAAGAATGAAGTGTAAACCCCTCAAGCAACTTGCATTTTCTAAATGTGTTTCTCTATTTACTCCTATGTGGAAGACACTAATTTGTGACTCTCTTTTTGTTTGTTTGCATTAAATAATGTAATCCGTTAGATAAAGAAATTGTTCAGAAAATAAAATAACTTACGATGGACTCGTTAGTATTCTTTTTCTTCTTTTTCTTTTTCGTTTTATCTGAAATGGAGGGGGAAAAATCAAAAACTTGATTATTAGGAATTCTAATGTACTTCTTCCATGATTTTTATCGATTTTAATACAACAAACATGACTTCTGTAGATTTTCATCTGTAGTTCAAATTGTACTAAAACTAAAGTCTCAAACTGGGAGCATAACTTTTGTCAAACAAAAAGTGTATCTCTTATCCATAGATTTCTCCTACTTATATTATTAATTAATCTGGGCTCTTCACTTTTGCTTTGGATTTTCATTTTTACAAATTATATCCTCTAATTTAATTTCTAGACAAAAACAAGAACAAGAGGGGAATCTCACTGTCACGATTTTTTTCTTTTTCCCCAATCTCAGCTCTTGTTTTTATCCACATTTTGTTTTTATATCTTTCTCTCTCAATCCCTGTAAACAAAATTTGCAAAGTAAATGTGAACAGTAAGACAAACAGACGTGAGGTTACTGCTGAGTGTATTTCAACAGTGACACACAGTATATCTATTTTTCCTTTTAGAGATTTTTTTAATCCCCAAAACTTTCGAGTTTTCGCGCGCTTTTTCAGGGTTGTCCTTGTTCTAAAAAGGGCGGTAGTGCCTTACAACCTTGAAATAGGTCTCCTTTTTAATATTAGTGACCCTTCGTCGGGCCATGATGTAAAAAATTCCAAAAAAGAAATGTCACTCAATTTATTCATTTAGAACAAAACCAAACCAATTCTGTTTTATTTTAATAATCAAGTTTTTGTGGATAACCGAAGGCTCGTAATAGGGTCTTGACACTGTGATATAGTTCTGCGCGAATAATTGTTTTTTTTTAAAAAAAATTCCTTCATGAAGAAGTACTAATCGCATTATGATTCAGAGATATTGGTTTGATCTTTGGCAGCTGTAACCAGGAAACAAAAAGGGGGGAATGTTAAAATATGCAAATGTGAAATAATTATACCACTTGCTTTTATATTTTGGACCACAAATAATTAATTCTGGACCATATAAAATCATTAGGATAAAATGCATTATGTTGTTTAAGCCTTAGAGACATGGTTTGTCTTGAGCATCCTTTTTTGAAACCATTAAATTAACTACTCCCTTCATTCGATCTAATCAAACCATCATACACTAAGTATATATCTAAAAGAGTGAAAATTTTGCATTTCTAAAGTTTTGCATTCAAGTCTACTCATGGCTCTGATACCACAAGTAGGATAGATGATGTTATTGGGATAAGAAATGCAACTATGATGGTCATTTTGTATCTCAATAAACTAAACTTTTGCGTTTCTAAAGGAAAAATTGGGAAAAATCTCTTTCTAGATGGTTCCTATCCTAGAAGATTAAATTATTCTTTAACTTGATGTCTAGCCTAAAATTTAAGGCTAAATCTATTTTTTCCTCGTATTGAATGTTATTTCTGACACAGTTATTTTTTCGTCTTTTGTATTATTAACATCTTTAACTATATATATATATATATATTACCAATTTATCAACATGATGATTATTCTCATCACGTCACTGACCTGCGAAGTAGAAACACGGTAAAGAACAAAATCTTTATCCTCTATTAGAGGTGAAATATAATGAGTGGAATATGACCGAAACAATCTAAATCTATGAGATCTGTTATTATTCAATAAAAATGGATTATTCCTTATTTGTATATAAGCATGTCCTTCAGAAGTTTGTTCAACATAACTTACTTCTAAATTTGTCTGTGACTGGATATTAGTAGTTCTTTCTATAGCCCATTGTTCTGGAATTGGTATTTAATCTCATTCAATCGTCCTTCTTGTAGTAATTTTTAATTTATTAAAATTGGTTTCTAATTATACTAATATGCTTAATCGTAAATTATATCTGTTATAAACATGATTGAAAAAACTACATAACTTATAACTTACTAGTTATGTAAAATGATGATCTTCGGACTTCATATGTATCATTTCTTCAGAGAGTCTTATTTGTTCCTTGTATGTTTCATTTGTGTACCATACAAACAGCAGAAAAACAGCTCAGCAAAGCAACTAGAAACTCTACAAAGTCGACAATGCATATTTCAAATTTTTGTCTTCGTCAAAACGGATAAATTTTTAGCTGACGATCAAACAGTGTTTTTCCCCACTTTCCAATCCTCAAAGAAGAAAAAGCAAATGAAAAATTAGGGAAAAATAAAAGAATAATTTCAACGTGGATTTTAATTAAGGAAAACTATAATAAAAAATAATAAAAATTGAAATCATGAATTACGCTTTTTTTGTGAATACATATGTTTTGGTTGTTCCTAGCTAGATAGAAGAAAGTTTCTGTATTCAAGCTGTTCCTAGCTAGATATAAGAAAATTTGGTGTACTACTTCATCATAAAATATTCAATTACTACAAATTAAAAGGATTTTCATGGTCGTCTATAGATGAATAAAATACTAGTATGTTACCCTATACCAATCTTATAATATTCTAAATTTCTTATATATGTTTGGAAAAGTGGAAAATTGTCAACTACAGTGCTGCTAAGTGCTAACAGCATAGAAACAACTCTCCGAATAATTCCTCATCCCTCGAGAAAGATAAAAAAAAAAAATGAAAAATGAAGAAATTAAATAGCAGTAGGAATCATTAATGATGAATTTGTTTGGATAAAGGGTCAGCCGTCCGTAATTAAGCAATGCTAATGTTATTTTCTAAGACAATACATTTCAAATTGCACGATCAAAATACATTACCACGGATGTGTAGTGATTATTTGTTGAAAGAAAAAAGTGAAATTGATAGCATTAGTTGCTTTATTGGGTCCACCAACATCCATTGGCATGAAGTATTATAGACCATAGTCATTGGTAACAAGAATTCAAGGCAATGTTCAAACTCACCATTATTCCCAAGGAGAAGAAAACAAACCATCGTCAATTTTTTTTTTCCCTGTCTAACTCGTCGTAATCTTGATCATATGTACGCGAGAAAAATTGACCACTATATAGCACTTTTTCTCCTACGATCCTATCTTATATGATGATGATTGTTTGGAGTAATACCAATGCTGCAGTCTTATCCTTCTTCACCATTTATCTAATTAATCATGTCAAGATAAATGATATTTACAGTGATAAATTATGTCAATACTTACGTTACACATTGAGTTAGGAAATTAGAATTGTTAACACGATGAAAGTAAATAGTACATACACACACATGATATCATTATTCTAGCATATACATGAGATTAGAGGGTTCAACAACTTATTGAAAAGTTATAAGATCGATTTCATTTTTATAGTGGGTAACCACGCACTAATTTTTATTTTTTTAAAAAAAAATTAAATAGTGTCATCAAGAAACGAATTCTTAAATTCCTAATAATAAATCCATCTTAATTCTCTAACCACCCTGTCCAAACCCCCCGACTCCAACTATGCACCAAGTTGCTAGCCTCCCCTAGAGACAAATGTGTATACCCCATGATAGAAACTCCTTCACCTCTCATTTCAAGACCTAATACATCATCATTATGCGTAATATGGTTGTCATAAAACCAATATTGAGGGAACCAATCACTTCTTGGTATCATTGGTCAAATTTTCGTTCACCTTTCATTTTAATTATTCAGTGATTTTTGATTGGAAGAATTGATCATTTATCCATAAACTCGATGGGATGCCATTTTGTCTGAATAGTTTTTGCATGTATGCAGGCCGCAATGGCTAAGGGAACTTATCCTTTTCGATCATTTTGCTTCATTCTCATCCATTTGGTAAACTATAGACCACTTGTTCAGGTAAAAAAAAAATCAAAGTCCCGTCATCTAATAATCCAATAGATTGACGATACTTTATTGAAATCTTGAAAGAAAGAATAACAGAAATAAAGGAAATAATTTTATCAAACGTTATTGTTAACTTTGTCATTTTATACGACGTTTATTTGTGACATTTGTTACAAGACCTGATTGAAAAAAAAAAAATCAATTATGGCATCTCTTAATTCAGCGCCTTAGTTATTGTTATTAAGAAACTCATTATTTGTGAGTTGTAACAGTTTAGTGGTTTTTTTTTAATTAAAAAAAGAAAGAAAAAAGATGAAGATGAATTGAAGAAGCAGCTTTTAGCATATGATGATGGCTCCCGAGAGTACTACCCTAATAATTCAAGATGGTAGAATACTATTGGCAATAATTACATATATTACCATGTGATTCGCACCATGTTAATTAATAATGTAATCCATATTTTGATGGATTTATTGGCCGATGGAGCTAGGGGAGTAATAGAAGCGTTCGTATCTGGCTCTGTCGCTGAATGTATTATTGAGTTATGTTGTTTGGTCACAAAGGTATGTTTCAATTTGTCAACGGACAATTTTTCACATCGTCTAAAAGTAATGTTTAATCCTTGTTTTCTTACTTATAGTATTTTTTAGATGACGGGGGAAGGCGATTTTAATTTTTTATTTTTTATATATAGCTGTAATTTCTCATTTTATAAAATCATACTGACACAAAAATTCAGTGCACAAATTTATGCGGCAAATCTAATCTAGAGCTATACAAGTTACAGTTACTCTTTTTTTTTATAAAAAATTTTCTTATAAATCGCAGCTAGAGCAATATGAATATGAAAAGAAAAGGAAAAGGAACTAAACTCTTTTTTTTTTTTTTTTGGGTACATGGAAAGAATCAACTCTGAAAATGAGAAGATTAATTGAAAGGAAAGAAAGATCCATGAATTGAACGGTTTGATTCAACATAACGTGCCCATCTCTATCTTAATGCATCAAAAGTTGCTTTCAAATCTCGGCGGCAATATTCTGTGGGCAACTCCCTAACGTACTTTGTACCGCCACCCCCTATTCCTATTCTATTCCATTTTATTACTACTATAAATATCTTCTTAATTCTTTGTTTTGCATATAAAAAGGAAAAAAAAAAAGAACAAAATATATTCATTCACTTATTAAAAAAAAAAAACAAAACAAAACAACGTACGTGTATGTTAGCAATGTTTCTATGAATAATCATCTGCCTGCGAGCCCTAGGTATGGCTACCTAAGTACTGAATCATATGTATAGAAGCAGAAAAATGAACGGTGAATTCTTCATTCTCATCGATGTTCTTTTCACGAAATCTATGCAAAAGATTTTGGCTTTATATGCATAGATTTCATAGACCTCAAGACTCAAGAGTGTAACATATGCATAGGACAAATGACAGAACCTCCCCCCCAGTGGATGATCTTATGGCAGTTTTTTTTTCTTTTTTTTTTGTGTAATGATTTAATTTTGATATCGACCACACTTTATATGTCGTGATTATATCACGTGTCCCACTTTATTTTACATTAATTATCTCGTACGATATAAGACAACGATCTCGTTTTATTGATGAAATATTACATTCATGGTAAAGTTGAGTAGTGACGTTAATAGTCCACAAAAAAAATTTTATAAGGGTATTTTGATAGATAGTGGCGGAGATAGGGAACCAACATGCGATCGACCCCCTTGCCTAATTTTTTATTTTTTATTTTTATTAAGGAATGGTTTAATATTTTATCTAAAATTTTTACATAATTATAATTTCATCCCTATTATAAAAAAATATATATCATTTCGTCCCTGTCATTTGGAATTTTTGGCTTCAATATTGATGAGGTCTATGTCTAAAACATAATGTTATCTAAAGAGCGCATTTGTCCTTGCATTGTATTATTTCGTTAATGGAATATTGGTTGGTAGTATATTCATATGGTGTGTATATTTTAGACAATAAAGAGTAAAAGAAATTGGTAGTTTTGTTTTAGTGCGAACTGTAGATGCTAAAACTGCGATTAAAAGGTACTCCTATTTGACTAATTCTATTACGTAAGTTTGTTTTGATGATTTTTATACTTTATAATCACATTTTGTAGAATTAGCTCTATCACTTTTTTTCGGATCCATTCCTTTTTTTTACCCCTCCTTCCTAGAAAAGTAATCGACAGTACAACTTGTGAATTGTACTATAATGTAGACTATTTTTAGACCAAGGCAATATGTTTCTCTTTGTTTGTTTCTTCTCCCTAAAATAATTTTAATATAAAAAAGGAACGATTTCAAGAGACTACGAAAAATTGTTTCAATAATAATTTCTTTTAAGTAGGGGTGTCAATTTCTGACACGATGATACGATTTACAGAGATAACTTGACACGACACGACACGATTGACACGATTTGAGTTTTTATCACATTTTTGCTCTAAAAAATTTTATTAATCATGTAAAATACATAACACGAAATTGACCCGGTAACTCGAATCGATAGCCGACATTTAAGTTTGGAAGGAGGTGATAACAAAATGAAGAACAAATACTTCCCCAATCTTTCAAAAAATAAGTAGAAGAAAACACTTAAAATACGTAACTGGACCGGCCCAAATCATTAATGCTTGAAGAAATAGAAGTAAGGCCCAGTGTTAGTCATGATTCGTTCACGTCTGTTAATAATTGAAACAAACACGCCCGGCGAAAAGGGGAAAAAATAGAAATAAAAATAAAAATAAAAATCACGCATGATGAGTAAAAGTTGAACAAAATGGTTGCAAAAACACATTCAAGGTAAACTTTTTAACGGTGATTGATTCATAAAGAAACACATAAATAATCGTTCATCTCATATATTACAAATCCAGTTTATTGTTTTGATTTGGCTAAATTAAGTAGCCTTTATTTATTTTTTGACTCAGAAAATAAATTTTTTTTTTGTTTTGCAATCATTCAGTATCATAAGATAAATCTTCTTTTTGAGGAAATGTCGACCAAAATACAAGGATTTAAGAAAATGATAAAAAGAAAATTAATATATTCTCCCGGTGCTTACTATAAGGCATTTTGATTTCTTCATAAAATTCACATAGAATTTTTTTTTCTAATTGAGATAAAAACCTTAAAATCATTTTATAATAATTAAAAATATACAAAAAATGTGAACATATATATTTTTAAGGTTTTTTTTTCAATTAAAAAGATATCATAGATTAAATTTAGGACGAAATCAAAATGCCTTATAATAAGGACTGGGGGAGTACGCCATATATGTTCCCATTCAAAGCACAACAATGATAAAATTGAATTGAATAATAATTAAAGACCAAATATATGTTCTTCGATCTTAGAAGACACACCAACATTCAATCCCCCAAAAAGACACCAACATCCGATCGGAAACAAAAAAAAAAAAAAAAAAGAAGGAAAAAAAAAACTGAATTTCGAGAGTCCATCAACGAATTCTTCCACCCTTCATTGTTCAAATGCTACTGCGTTGATCGATCTCAGTGACGTAGAACTGCCAGATATAAGTCAGACACTGCTTTCTCATACATCTTTATTTCTTCTTTGATTGAATTCCTTTCTTCATCAGTTCTGGCATTAGCTAACTGTTGTTTCTTGATTGATATCATCCTTTTAAAACCTTTTATCTGATTTGAAAAAAAATAATAATAAAAACAAATTAAATTAACACATACGCTCACGTCAAACAATAATCTCAAATTAATTAATGAAGTAGACGAAGTATAACCTTTCTGTAAGGCCATCTTCCTATTCCAGCTTGTCGACATTTCTTCTTGATCACAGTAGGGCAAACTTCCATTTTCTTAGCAGCTTCTTCTATAGTAAGATGTAGGTATTTTGCGAAATCTTTCATCTTCAACCTCTTCGTTCTTTCCCTCTATTCCATTTATTGAACCAAATTCACAAGATTAATACACAAACTAAAAATGGAACTATGTACAATGGTTTTAAAAAAAAATCATCTATACTTAATTGCATGAAGTATCATGCAAGTAACAAAACAGTGTTGTGCATTCGTAAAAATATCAAATTTTGTCACGTATTACTGACCTGAATTGCTAACGGAGACTTGCCCCGTCCTCCTTGTCTGAGATTTTGTTGACGATGATCGATGGCATTCCCACTTGCATCACTCGCCGGATACTGTTGGCGATTGTCGTTGACGTTTCCCGTGGGATTACTTGTGGGATTTAGTTGGCTTGGTGTAACTTCTTGCTGTGGCATTGTGTCATTATCTAAGTGAAAAAATGAACATTCATAATTTGCTTGTGATAAGAAAGGATTATGAAATTAAAATAGATGTAACAATTAAAAAAATTTCGAAATTAAAACAAAGACAACCAAGATAATATAAAAAGTTAAATAATCATCTTGACGGGGATTGAAGATATATTGTTTGATTAACCTGTATCCATTGCAGTTGGTTGGGGAAGATAAGGAATTTGGTTCTCCACATCATCAATGTCAATCAATAACGCCTTGAAAAAAACGGTTAGAGGATCTTCTACCAAAGAAAAACCTTCCAACCTTCGATATTCACAGTACTGGAGTAAGAAACTCTTTATGCTGTCGATGCTCTCGTTGGAAAAGCTGAAGCATGTACATGAGAAGAAAAAATAGATATTGAGTGGGAAAGAAAAAAGAAGAAGATAAACATCTTTCAAAACACAAAAACATCAAATTAATTTTTTTTTTCTATTTCTCAATTAAAAAATGTTCTAGTTAATAAGTCACACAAATTTAATCTAACACGAAGGAATTTTAGATGATCGTGTCTATACTCCTTCTGTCCTGTCCTGATATTACTATCCATTTTAAATTTTTATTTTTTAGTTCAAATTATATGTACTACAACTGGATAGACAAACTGAACAATAATTTGGGGACGGAAGGAATAATTGTCATTTTTCAAATAATGTTCATAGGGTGTCAAAAGTTACTCCCTCTCATCAAAGTAAACAAGTGTCCAAACAATTAGAAAGAAGAGTTTGCTCTCATAAAAACGTGACTTACTCAAACATTTGATACGTATGGTTTTCTGAAGAATAATTAAAGTCGTACGTATCCAGAATTGCATGGGTGATGTTTGTCCCGAGTCGTCCATGAATTTCCAAGTTTGTTATGGTTACCCCTGCAAATCAGAGACCCCAACAAAAACACAGAATGATTATATATATATATATATTATATATATATATATATATATATATATATATTCCATTGCAGATCATGAAAAATGAAGGAACCAGAAAAAGAAGAAAAAGAAGTAGAAAATAAGTAACCATTAGTGTGGATAATTTCTCGAAGCGTTTGACAACCAGAACAAGAATAAGGTGACGGAAGAATTGGCCAAATCGGGAGTGTAATCGGATTCCCGAAATCAGCACCACCTTGTGGATTATCATAACAGTTTCCACCGTCATTGCCTGAGAAATGCCCTCCTTGATGCACAATGGTAGAATCATTAAGAAAATTCCAGAAATTCGGATCCCAAATCGGATCATTCACCCCGTTAACAACCGTACCAGAATTGACATTGCTATTCAAGCCGGGAACAACATTACTCGGACTCGCCCCAAGATTGGTCGGATCGGCAAGATGCTGACCCGGAGGAACAGGCATGAAATTGGTTGAAGGCGGCCCGGATCTGCTTGAACTAGCAAACCTAGTATCAAATGGACCAAAAACAGGAGCCGAGATCGGGACAAGAGTATACGAACCGACGACAACATCTTGACCCGAATTCGGCAAAGGATTAATGTTACTCGGCCTAGGAACTTGAGCATTTTGATCAAACCCCAGGTTTCTGTCGTAACCCAGCGACGGAGCGTCTTCGTTACCGAAATCTAAAAGTTGTTCCGCGCTAGGCTGGTCGTCGGCAGTGGGATCATGATAGGGAACAATAACATTTGGTTTTGAGTTTTCCATTTCCTTTTTTTTTTTTTTAAATTAAGAAAAAAAAATAACGTTTGATCTTTGCAAGTGTTCAAGCAGGCGAAGGCTTGGCTAAGGAGAGAAACCAATGTTTGCCCGCAGGAACGAACGAAGCAAGGATGAAGGAAAACCAGAAGTGAGGGAAGTTAATTAGGGTGACATTTATATGTTTTTGTCTACGGAAGAAAAAAAAAAAGGCGGGAGTTGGTTAATTACCGTTATTGTCGAGCAGTTAGAAATGCGACGGTTGGGTTTTAAATTTTTAAAACATTTTCTTGCGTCACTTCAGTTGGGTTGGGGTTCCTGTGTGGTTCCTTCCCTTTTCCCTTCGTTTTTCGTTTTATTTCTTTTTTGGTTTTGAAGATATTCCAACTTCTGCTAAATAAATGCTAAAAATATATATCTTTTTTTTGGAAAAAAAAACACATTTAGGATTTTTTTTAAAAAAATAAATAAAAAAGCACATAATATTTGTGTGAGCATAACATATGTTTGTTTTATGTGAGACGCTTTGTTAAAATACTGCATTACTACTTGTCTCGATAAAATGTGAGCATGACATATATTTATTTTACACGAGATAACAAATTGTTAAATTTATATATATTTGAAAATTACTTTTAATATTTCAAATAAACTATTTATCTAATGTGCAAACACTCGATTGTAATAATGTTCTTATATACAATCCAATATAGACACACGTTGTTAGTTGATTTATAAAAAGGTTTCAACTCTCAATTGAAATATTGTACTCCTATCCGTTTTTTCTTCACGATTGAAAAATTAAATTATGCACTCCCTTAATTCCACAAAAATATTTAGCTATGTTAAAATATATTCATACTATGATAAAGTGGATTATTTATTTTATTATGGCGGCGGGAGTATAATTTGTAAATCGCGAACATAAAAAATGCAGTCCCCCTTCCCCCCTTCCCAAAAAAAAATGCTTCTGCCTTCCAATAGGGAGGAGAGAACGGCGTCGTATTTGGTCAAAGTAGTATTTGACTTCGCTGCGTTAACGAGAAAACCTTAGTACTTGATGACGAAATGAATGCCATCGTCGGGCAGAGGTTGGCGTCGTTCTCTTCCACCCTGATACCTCGATCCTCTCTTGCTCGGTCCGCCGTTCGCGGCGGTTCTTTCTTGCTGCTTCCTCGCCGTCGATTTCCTAATTCGACAGCTACAATCCGCACAGGTAGTATCAATCTCAATCTCTACTGTTCGCCGGCAGACAACAAGTCAACGCTCAACGTAACAGCTTCATCTTCATTCTCATCTTCCCCCATGGCTTCCGCCGCTGAACAGTCTAGGGTTCCCCCTGCTCTCCAGTTGCCTTCTCCTCCTATCACCAAGGTAATTCTTTTTGTCATACATTAAAATCAAAGAAAATCGCTCGGAATTTCGATTTCGTGAATTTATTTTCTCTGTATAACAATCATTCTTTTTTTCCCTCTCAATTAAAAATAGTATAAAATTGCGCTATGTCAATTGACTGTGACGGCGGATAAGGAGAGGAATATTCGTCATGCTCGGACTGCCATTGAAGAGGCTGCGGAGAAGGGTGCTAAACTCGTGGTTTTGCCGGTGAGCTTTAAAGTTTTAAGTTTTTGGGATTAGGATGGAACTATGATTGGATAAAGGGGAAGGTTTTCGTTTCCAGTTTTCAGATTGTCACTTCATGATGGAGTTATGATGATGTGAAATTTATGTTTATTTAGGAAATTTGGAATGGTCCATATTCAAATGATAGCTTCCCAATTTATGCTGAGGATATTGATGCTGGATTTGTAGCATCTCCTTCTACAGCAATGCTGTCCGAAGCTGCTCGTCTTTTGAATGTCACGATTGTAGGAGGTTCAATTGCCGAAAGACATGGGGACAAATTGTACAATACTTGTTGTGTCTTTGGTACCGATGGGAAGCTGAAAGCTAAACACAGGAAGGTATGTAGTCTCCATCTTTTGCATTTGTGTCCATAAATGGTTCTCAGTTATTTTAAGAATTTTGGCGAACGTACCTTCAGGACAATGTAATTTGTGTCTGAGTCTACGTCAACTACATCCTGATAAGACTATGTTCTGATGACAGATCCACCTTTTTGATATTGACATTCCTGGTAAAATAACATTTAAGGAATCAAAGACTCTTACCGCTGGGGAGTCTCCCACCATTGTGGACACAGGTAGGCAGAATGTTGTGCTATAGTTATTCTCAACTGCTATCAAAAGCCAAGCTTCTTTCTACAGATGCCCATGAAAGTTAGTGGTTTAACATTTCAATTATAATAGCGGTACAGGTAAAAGGCTTGTATATGTCTTGTATGGCAACTAATTATCCGACAAAAGCAATGCTAGAATGGATGAAGTTGTTGCCTTGTGTGAAAACTATTGAGCAAACCCGAATTTCTTTTACTTCACCTTCTTGGGGATTCGGACCTAAAATCGGAAACATCCTCTCAGCAGTGCAAACAAACACTGAGACCGGCTCCGCTGATGATATATATTATATTGTCATTTGTGACTAAGTCAAAGATACACCAAATTAGTGTCCTGTAAAGAGCAACAATCTGTTGCTATTATCATGTACGGTAGAGCATGTTTTGCACGTCAGTTTTCCGGTTACAGATTTCTTATTATTTTATCTTATCTTACTACATAGTTCATGAAATATAATCAATAGTTTTACTTCAGAGGTTGGGCGAATTGGAGTAGGAATCTGCTACGACATTCGTTTTCAGGAACTGGCAATGATATATGCTGCTAGAGGTTGGTACTTAGACCATGCTGCTTTTAAGTTTTCCTGTGATAACAACTAGTTATTTGCATATTTAGTATATACGTAGATAACACCAGCAATGCATGAAATGGGTGAATAGTGGAGAGAATGACAGTGAATCGTGTAGAAACTAAAAAACTGTACAAAGTGCATCTCTACAAATACTCGCTGGTTTCTTATTTGCACGCATTTTCGTGCTGATTTAATAACTCTGGGAACTCCACAGGAGCGCACTTAATATGTTATCCGGGAGCTTTCAACATGACAACTGGACCATTGCACTGGGAGTTACTTCAAAGGGCTAGGTAAATTCCTCTCTCTCTCTCTCTCTCTCTCTCTCTCTACTTACAGTTTCTTCCCTTTTGTGATTGTTTCATGAGATGCTTCATAGAATTGAAATTTGAAATGGACGGGGTGCATTTGGGCTGGAGTACTTAGTTTAAGAGAAATTACTTTCGGACATCTGAAACTAGGATATTTCAGGTCTATTTGATGTTGATGTAAATTCTTTTTGAATTATGGTTGTGGAACCTTACTAATTGTTACCTTCTGTGTTTATAATTGTGAATTCAGATCAAAGCTGATAATCTTAGCTTAAATTTAGATAAGTTAAGGGCTCGAAAGCTAAGCATGAATCCAGTACACATTTCTGTCCTCAGTCCCTAAAGAGTGCAAATGGAAAGGCTAAACTTTAAAATTTGAACAAAGATAATGAAGAATCTTGGCTTACAGAATTCTTTCTGGCATAAAGAGAAGATTGTTTATAATTTTTGTAATCAATGCTTGCGATCATGATGTTGAGCAGGCTTGTTGAGATACTTAATGTCAATCTTTATCTTTTAATTGCAGGGCTACTGATAATCAGGTATCACATGGATTTTCCGCTCTCCTGTCTACAATTTCTCTTCACATTTTAGCTTCCATCGTCCTTGTATAAACTTTACCATATGCTTTTCCTTAGTGTTATTACTTGAGACTGCGATTAGACACTTGCCCTTCGATGTACCTTTGTGTATGTGTTTTGCATTCTTATGGCCTCTTACGTGCAAGGGCAGTTGTATGTAGCGACTTGTTCACCAGCCCGAATCGTTGATGCTGGATATGTGGCCTGGGGCCATTCTACTCTTGTTGGACCAGTAAGCCAAATCGTTCCTTTTCTTCGGACATTTTGTTACCTTATGTGTTGGTTGTCTTCGGTGGGGTTGTTATTCATGCTGCAGTTGGGAGACGGCTACGGGCAAAAATGATAAAGCATTAAATCATTGGTATCTGACATTTCAGTTTGGAGAGGTACTAGGAACCACTGAACACGAAGAAGCAATCGTCATAGCAGAGATTGACTACTCTGAAATCGAGCTCAGGAGGTAAATCATCTTTGGTCCTAACTATCTTAAACTTGACTAGCTACTGAAAACCAAGAGCATGCTTTCTCACAAATCATCTTTGAGGCATTCTCACAAACGCTAAGTCTTATGTTTAAATTTTGAACTCTTCAGTATTTAATCATCATTTTGCTTTTGTTGGAAACAAATGTGGTCCGGTCCTGACTATCATTATTTTTTTGTGTTTTCAGGACTAATCTACCCCTGGAGAAGCAAAGGAGAGGTGACCTTTATCAGTTGGTAGACGTTCAAAGATTGAATACTTGATAAAAGAAAAATGATCATTGCTGGGGAAAATGTAATAGTTGATGTTGGATTTTCATGTATAACTAGTAACTAAATAAAAAGCTCACAAATTCATTATGTAAGAATTTCAACTTTATGAATTACTGAAGTAAAAATATTTGGCCAGAATGCAACAAAGAGAGTATAACTGTGCGTAAGGATGTAAAAATTGAATCCAACTAAAAGAGGCTCTAGATATTATGAAAAACCAGCAGTCAACTCTCAACGATACAGAATTGGGAAATGGCTCCATTCACAGAACTGACGAAGATTATTTCCAGCCAAACTCTTCCCAGTTAAATTTTCAGGAAGTCTCTCAACAATTTACTCTGAACCCTCTAATTTGATAACAACTACTTACATATTTGCACGTTCTAATAATGCAGCAAAGTGGGATAAAATAATCTTACAATTAAAGTGGACTTCGGTGAATTATAAAAGTTTTCATAATAACATTTGTTAGGATTGACAAAAGTCTTACTAAAAGTCTTATCACGACGCCCAATATTATCATGCCAAATATGGTTTTTAAAATTTTTCTTCCTTGTTTATCTAAATCTTATGTTATCGAAATTAAATATTACTTCATTAAATTATTTACATCAATCTATCTATCTATCTATATAACTTAATAATAGAAAACCCAGAGAGAGGAATCTGAGATAATTTTCTATTTGTCACGTAGGATTGGCAATTTTCTCTTTTTTTTTATTTATTAAAAACTATAAAAAAAATTATATCTTCAGTTAAAAAAAACAAACGACGGAACAAAAACCACTTCCGATTTCTTCAATCAAATCTTAAATTATCCTCCCAAAATTTATGCACGTCCAAACCTTTAAAATCGAGATCATATTCTGATGAAATTCAATAGCTATACTTGAATTTATTAAAAAATTAGATATTTTTTTTTGCTAAAAAGATGGATGCAATGATCACGAGTCATCTTCTATCTTTAATTACAGGTGTGATAATCTTATGAAATCAAATCTCCATTGATATAAAGATTTTTTTTTCAAATCATAACTCTTTTTGAAAACAAAAATTTGTTCCTAAAATATTTCGCTCAAAACCTACCACAAGATATAAAGCAAAGTATCCCAACTTCTATGATACAATGAACAATATGCTATATTCTTTTTCGTCGCCTCTTCTTGATCAATTACAGACTCCCTAGAGGACAAAAAAGACTGAAAGTTGGTCATCTCTAATTGGAAAAAGATTTTTGATCAAGTAACGAAATTCGATCTTTTTGTTGCATGCGGCAAGGAAATTATGTTCATTATTGAAAATCTCTGGGTGAAGAATACCGTCTTTTTTTTTTTTGAGCCACAAAAAAAAAAAGAAGAAAGTTTGAAAAGGAAAAATGAAGAATACCATCTTAGTTCACAAATGTCGAATAAATTATTTATTTCAATTTTTCCAATTACATTTGCTTTTTGTTTCACGCAGTTCACAAGTTCATGTCTTCGACTTTGTTTCGTGGGCTTTGAAATGAATTTGTCAATTTACGTATGGATGTGATTAATTAGTAATTAATTTATAGCTGAAGTGAAGTGTCATAATTGTGCTTTTTTTTTCCATTTTGTTTATAATTTATTATATTTTATAAAATTTGAACCGAAGAATTATAGATTTACTCATTGTGTCAGACATGATAGTTTTTGTTGGAGATTTATTGATGCCTGTCAAGGTTTGACTAAACTAAGTAGTGCACTCATTTTCCGTAGGTAATTAATTAATCTGAAAGTTTTGAGATTAAATTTATGTGGTTTTCAAGCAAAATGATCGTTAAGTTTAGTTAATTCTTAAATAATCACTGTTTGGTCTCTTTTTTTTAAATCTCTCCTGCGTCATTATTGTATTTATTTCATTTAATCTAAAAGTGAAAAGAAATTTTCAATCCCGTAGAAGCATATTAAGCGATTTTTCTCCACCCATCAAGGTCAGTGACAAAACGATAATTTTCAAATTGTAGGGTCGAAAATAGAATTATTCAACTGTTAGCGAAAGGTCAAAGTTGAAAAAATTTTAATTAACGGACACCCTACTAAGAAAAAATCCAGCCAAATCCGGCCGATTGGGGGTCGATCGACCACCCTGACCCCTCTTGGTTCCGTCACTGATCGAGATGCCTACGATGAATGAGGATTAGTCAATATTGCCGACGGTGGACACCCTACAATGTGCGGGGAAAAAAAAATTCTTTTTCATTTATATTTAAGCAGAAGAGTTTGTGTTTGAAAAAATATCAATTATTGGTAATGTTTCCTCATTAAGTAGTAAGTAGATGTTAAACCCGTCTGATGGACGGGGCAGAAAAAAATGTGGAGAAAATAATTTGTTGAGAATTAAAAAGCAAAGTTTCATAATATTAAAAACAAATTGAATAATTATAAATGTTGCAGTATCTTTTGTATAATACATTAGTTATCCTGTTACTCGTCTCTCGTTTTCACCGCAAATTAAAATGAAGTCTTTTTTTGATATAACTCTGGATAGAGTAATGCATAACTAACCTTGTAATACTGGGCAGCCCACATTAAGATGTTTGGGCTACAAAATTGGACAAAATCAATCAATTTTTCAGCCATCTAATTCTCGGCCAAACCCAACTCAAGTCCCAAATTTCATCTTCGCCCTCCAAGTCTTTAAACTCGTTGATTTCTTCCTCAACAATTTGCTCCAATCTTCAATTCAGCCCCTTTTAGTTGCTTTTTAATTCAATTTAGCTCTAAACTTCAACAATTCCTCCTTTTGAGTACAATTCCTACAATCAAAGATAAAATCACATAAATAGCATACTTATACTCAAAATATTGGCAAAATCTCATGTAAAGGGATCTTAAAAATAGATAAATTATATTCATATCAAATACCCCCAAACTTGAAATATTGCTTGTCCTAAAGCATTTCCAGGAATTTAAAACACACAAAAACATTTAATTATTTAATTTGGTGGCCTCAGAGATTTAAATAACACAAAGACATCGACTACCTCTAATATGCACTACCTAACAATATGCAAACCATATCCACTTTTAGCCCCCACGCTTGTGTGTGTGTGCGATTTGTTTTTTAGGGACATCACTTTACATTCAACATAGAAAACAAAAAGCTCTACTGCAAATATGCCATATATTAACACTTTAACAATAGACTCACATTTCACACCATATTTCAATGCAATGGACCACCAAACATGCTATGAAGTAGAAGGACTTATCTCACAGACAACCTCTTCCCCCTCGTAACTCTTTCTTCGGTCCATGCGACTTTTCTTCAGGACTCTTTCTCACTCAGGCCCCTACCTAGTGCATTTTTCCACTCCTTTGCATAGTGGCTCAGCAACTTAGGGTAGTATGCATATCTATTTTTCCTCACCGGGCCTAAGGACTCTCCGCTCAGGTTGCCAATTCCTCACCTCTCAATGGGGCTAGCATCAACATGGAATGCTCCTCATTTTCTCTCTCATTAAATTTAATCTAACTCATAAGCATCTGCCAACACCCCTCCTCCAATTTTACTTAACACAAGGTGTCAAAGCAAGAAGGTTTTTTAAGGCTGATATTGGGTTAATGCCTTACTTTTTCTTCACAACATGATGGGTTCCACATACATATCATATAAATATGAGTGAATCAAACACACATTTTATGGCATATCTACATCAAACTCATGCAACTACGTCTTACTTTAGGCTTATCCTACAATCACGACTAAGTGCGTAAAAAGCAGGGTATTCAAAGCAACATACAGAAATACACAAGTTAAGCAATAAATTCTTACATGCTAAAGATAATTAAAACATATTCATCATAGGCCTTTTTGGAATTTTCAATTTTTTCAATTTTTTTTTAGTTTTTGATTTTTTTAGTTTTTTTTTTTTCAAAATTTTTTAACGAAAAATAGACATAACAAACACATATTCCTCCCCAAACTTAAAGTATAAATATTGCCCTCAATATATAAGACACAAAAGACAAAGCAACCAAGTGAAAAGAAAAGAAAAGACATAAATAAGTAAAAAAATGAAAAGAAACGACACAACCTTGGAAATGTGAAACAGAGAACTGAAATTGTTGAAGAAATTGTTGCAACTATCCAAGCACCATTTATTCTTAGATGTCAAATAAAAACAAAAACAAACCTAACTTATATCAGACATATGATTAAGAAAAATCACGAAAATCCAGAAATCAAAGATTTCCAAATAATCAGGAACAAAAAACTTAACAATCTACTTATTTGAAAAATTAAAAAAAATAAAATAAAGCAAAATAAAACTTGGGTTGCCTCCCAATAAGCGCTGTTTTAAGGTCTTTAGTCGGACTTTATGGCTGATCAGTCAGAGTATCCATACCGATACCTTAAGAAACCAAGTTCAACAGCCAATAATAAATCTCTTGTAGTGACTCTCTTTTCCATGAGAAAATATAAATTTATACTCTAAGACCACTATATCTTCTTTCTCAAATTCAATCTTGTACCACTGATCCTCTTCTTTGTCTTTCAATGAATCATCTTTCAAATCATCCACACTATCTCATATACCAGGGACAAACTCCCCACATGTATCTATATGAAACTCTTCTTTTGAAACTATAGGAATATTCTGCTCAGTGAAATCAACTTGATCCACATCTTTGTCACCAACTCTCAGAATGAGCGAATCATGCTTGACTACAATATATACTCCAGAAAAATCAGGAGAACTTGGAATATCTGGACTTTTAAACTCATCAGTATTTTCTAATCTTCACATTCAAACTCAGTTTCAGGCAATGACAAGGGACGTTGGACGAATGTATCATTTTTAGAAATCTGCTCATTCTTACTGCATTTAAGCAAATTTCCTATAGGATCAAGTTCCGACAACCCCACACTCAGCCTATATTGGTTAACTTCTTCAATAAGTTTTTTGCCTTTTTCGCTTTGCAATTCTCGAAGAGCTCACTCTCTAACACTAAGTTGGGGTTGAGCAGGTGGCTGCTGAGGTTGAAGAGGTGATGACTGTAGGGCTACAAGTTCTCTTAGAGTAGGTTGACAAGCTGCTAGCTCTCTAAGAGTGGGTTGAGGAGGTGGCGGTTGATATATTGATGCATTTGAGTGGTAAAAATCATTTTGATAGAAA